TTTTTTTTTTTTTTTTCCTACTTTGGCATGTTGAACATATCTACAATCGGTCAATAGCTAAGATGATAGCAAGTACAATGCAAATATCCAAGATTTGTGGCTACAATCTACTTTTTAACATGAGACTCTACAAGAATAATGAATAAATGTACAATTTGTAGATTTTGTAATTGGGGCTTAGTTAATGTAAATTAAGAATGATATATAAACATCTCAACATGCGTACTACAGAATTGTGGATGCATGAGCCCATATTTGAGTTTCTTGCAAGTCAATATAGACAATTTCTATTGTAATTAATTTCAGGCCAGCTAGCAATGATTTGGCCTTGAATCCTGATGGTTCTGCTGTGAACCCTGGAGCACTCCAGCAGCACCTTCGGCGTGATTCCAATCTTCTAGGACAACTATTTCAGGCTGATCCTGAACTTGCACAAGCTATAACTGGAAATGATCTTAATAAACTGCAGGAACTTTTGAGAGCACGTCATCGCCAGAGATCTGAGTTGCGGCGCCAACAAGCTGAGGAGCTAGTAAGTAGCTTCTACTGTTAGCTTGTGGCCTTAACTTTCTATGGATTATTTTTAAGATGAAATTAGATTACGCTGCCTGTTGCATGATTAATATATTTTATTTGATTTGTTGGTTTAGGCTCTTCTCCATGCTGATCCGTTTGATGTTGAAGCACAAAAGAAAATTGAAGCTGCCATTCGTCAGGTCAGTGTTCTGTTACTCTTTTATGTTTGTTATTATTTTCTTACAAATAAATTAATAAAAGGGATAAGATTCATAGAATCTATAATAAACAACTCTCAGTTGCGCACAACTGCTACTTATTTTGGTGCAAAATCTGAAAGAGTTTGTTCATTACTTTATTCAAAGACAAGCTGTTCTGTTTGCCTTATGAATAAGGGTTGAACGCTGGGTCTGATTTTTACTCTATTATTTTTTATCTTATTGCTGGCTTTTATAGTAGTTTTGCTTTTAGCATGTGTTTTATTTTTTGGCATGGTTAAATAATAATGAAATCCACTTTTTAAGTTAATATATTTTTTCTTTGTTTGACCTTTTGCAATGTCACTAATCCTACATGCAGAAAGGAATTGATGAGAATTGGGCAGCTGCCTTGGAGTATAATCCAGAAGGTTTTGCAAGGGTGGTAAGTGCACTTATCACTTATCTTTATATTGTGAATTATATTTCCTTTTCCCTCTTCAGAATTGAGTGTTCATTCTCAAATCACGCAGGTTATGTTGTACGTTGACATGGAGGTTAATGGTGTCCCATTGAAGGTATAGTCTAGACAATGTAGAATTGCTTATCTTTTGCATGAAGCTCTTATATTGTTTCTAACTTGGATTCAGGAAAATATGTGGTGATTATAGTGCTTATGGGTTTCTTGTATTTTTCTAATGCATTAACTTTTCCTTCCCCTAATAATGTCCATGATGGGACTGCCTTTGCTTTTCTTCTTCATTTTCCTGTAACACCTTTTGCAGGGATCGGTTATGGGATTTTATAACATCTTTTGCATTCTTCAATTGTGGGGTTTTATCTGAAATTTGTGCATTTTATATAATTGTCTAGTATACCCTCCCATTCAGGTGCAACTGACTAAGATTAATATGTGTGCTATTTTACATTACCCCAGGCATTTGTTGATAGTGGTGCACAATCAACAATAATATCAAAAAGCTGTGCTGAGCGATGTGGGTATGTGTTCTTTCCTACTTTTCTTTTCCTTTTCCTTCCACTGATTGTTTGCATATTGAAAAGATTATCCATGTGTTGTACATACAAGTCAATTTAAAAAGACTGGATTATTTATTTATTTTAGTGTTCTTATTCTTTTTGCTGAGAAGGATTTGGGGTTGTTTGTGTTAACATAATTGTCTGGCTTCTTGGAAAGGAACAATTATGTCCATTGATATTCTCTTGCATGTCTTATAAGAATTGATGTCAATATTTCAGTTTACATCTTCATGATGGTTTTTGAAAGTTGTTTCCATTTGTCACTCCAGATTGCTGAGGCTTCTAGATGACCGTTATAAGGGTATTGCTCATGGAGTTGGACAATCAGAGATACTGGGTCGAATACATGTTGCCCCAATTAAGGTAGAGTTCATTCTATCTTTCTAGTGACATATATGAGGATAACCTATATTAGCATAAATTCTGCATTATGCTTGATGTTTTACCCAACTTATTGATTTCAATGTTTCTTTCATTGTAGATTGGAAATATATTTTATCCTTGCTCTTTCTTGGTTCTGGATGCCCCCAATATGGAGTTCCTATTTGGGTTGGACATGCTCCGTAAACACCAGGTAGCATCTTCTTCACTTAGTCAAACATTTGATGTACTTAACCATTTCAGCAATTCCATTCATCAAGTTCACATAACTGACTGGGACAATTTCTGCAGTGTATTATTGATTTGAAGGAGAATGTCTTGAGAGTTGGAGGAGGAGAAGTTTCGGTACCTTTTTTGCAAGGTTGATGATTGAGTCTGTGAATCCATCTTTTCCTGATATTAATGAAAAGCGGAAACTAACTGGATCATCTTTCTGCTTTTAGAAAAGGACATACCATCCCGTTTTCTTGATGAAGAAAGATACCCCAAGCAAGCATCCAGCTCTGGAACTGCAGTAAGTCCAATATTTGGTTACAAGTTTTTGCTGGAAGAGAGCTTTCATCAACAATTCTTTACTGGCATTTTAAGCAAATAACCTGTTTATATTTCCTCTTCTGTGTATACTATACTGAATTCTTTTTGTTAGTTTGGTTTTATTACTTTGTTACTTAAAAGTATAAACTAGAAAGAATCAGTACTATAGGGGCAAAGATGCAGAAATGATGTAGGCCTATTAGAAGCAACTTACCCTATTCCTTCTCTATCTAAAATCTAGTGAACGTATGTCCCACAAGTGTCCTGTGTGGTTACACAGAATGGACAGTTCAGACAACATTCTTTGAGGAAAGCATGAATGGTCTCCAAATTTATTCCAGTATTTGTTATTTTAGCTCACTTTTGATTCTTCAGGTTACATCTGGAGCAACTGAGAAGAGTCCTGTTCCACAAGCAGGGGGCCAGACCTCTGGTTAGTTTTAAGCATTTGATTGATTCTTCTTTGTCACACATTATTTTGCACCAGTTTCATGCTTTCATTATTAGTTAAATGGCTAACTTGACTGGTTTGAAATACTTTAACCACTATCTTGCATTAAACAAGCTTCCTTGCTTATAACATGCGTTCCAAAAATAACTGCTTTTGTGAAAGTTCAGACTTCTCACTCTCTTGGTGGTGCTCTAATCATCAGTTCACCATGGTATTCTAGTTTTTCTTATCATTAAATGCTTAAGTTACTGAAAGCTCTTCCTTCTTTTTCTTCTTGGCTCACAGGTACCCATGGCGATGTCACACAGGTTGGTGTGCTCTGCTATAAACAATTCTTTTCTCTCACCTAGCTTCTTGTCAAACTCTTCTCTAGGCTTTATTTCAACTTTGATGGAGTTTGTATCGTCATTTTTATGTTAAGGTTGATCACAACGTCTGTTTATATTAGAATTCTCAATTTAGAATTCATTTTACTGCAGAAACCTGATTTTGAAGCAAAAGTTGCGAAGCTAGTGGAGCTTGGTTTTGCAAGAGAGACAGTAATACAAGCTCTTAGATTATTTGATGGCAACGAAGAGCAGGCTGCAGGTTTTCTCTTTGGAGGCTAAAGAAAACTTGCATGTTTACATTCTTTTGAAGACTTTCCTTTTAAATTATTTGAAAAGAAACCTTACATACTGGAAAATTGTGTTATCTTAAAGCCATTTGATTCATAGACTATTTATAGGTCACGGTGACCTACAAGGACTTGCAATTCAAATAACAGTTAACTTCATCTGATTTTCATGTAATATTTTCCTTTTGACAGTGAAAATGAGTACTAAAGGTTAACTGAGGCTGAAATTTGATTCTTTCATTTCTCTAATAATCCTACAAGATTCATGTTTTACAAGTTAAACTGCACCTTTATTATTGAGATTATTAAATTATCATTAATGAAATGACCAAAATAATTTCATTAAAGGTATTATGGTAAATTTAAAAATTAAATTACACTTTTAATATATAATCTGATTTGCAAAATACTTTTTCGAAACTAAATAAGTTGACCCCAAAAAAGGATTATATAGTAACCAAAGAACATTAAAGCCTCACTTGCGCCTAAGCTTCCATCATGTCGGTATCGGTATGTCAGTCAGTTCACATTGAAGACACTGTTTTGTGAATCCAATACCAGGAGTCCTTGGAAGAGGAGACTCAACTTCCGGGGACACCAGTCAGAATTCTCGATTCTGAAGACAGTAACATTCAAGTTTGTTTCAACCTAAAATTTGTCTATGTACCACATCCTGCTATGAATGCGGAAAGTTCACAACTTGGCATGATAGCAAAAGATCAACCATTACTGAGCATTAAGAATATGGAAATCCAAACACGTTCCTCCATTGAATCCAATTAACTGAGAATACAAACAAAACTATTGGTGCAATGATTTGACTTGATAATGGGCTGTTTACAAATGATCATTTCTATCAAAATTGACTAACCCTAAACATTCATGCCAAATAAAGCTCCCCAACTAAATCCTACATTAATTTAGAACCTTTAGGTTAAGGAAAATCTCAAGGCAATGCAAAAAACAATTCATCAAAACCTTTCTGCCAATCTAGCACTAACTTGTCTTAGTTTTGAGTACACCTTTCCAGCAGGGGAACCTAAAATTAGGCTGCAAAGAGAATCTCTTGCAACTTTAATGCTGGAAAAAGTACCCATTATATGAATTTTGGTGTCTGCAATAACAATCCTCGTCCTTGTAGCATTTTCAATAGCATTTTTGGTTCTACCACCTTTACCAGACAGTCTTCCTATGGCACGAGACAAGTGCTCTCCTCTCAGTGTCTTAACATCCTTAATTTCAAATGAGTCCACGTAAATCTCATCCATCCTCACTAGAGATCTGGCATCATCAAAATCAAATCCCAACATGAATGCATGCAGACAATCAGCACATTTTTGTAGATGGGAAATATCGGGTGTGTCTGGCCTGGTCTTCAATTCAATCCTTCGAGCCTTGAGATTCATACGGATATCAATCTTCATATCATTGTATACAAGAGCATAGATGGCCTCCCAATTATTTCGTGTAGGCTTATACCTATGTGGTGGAACTGGAACCTTCCTGAACTGGACACGGCCATCAGACATCTCATGAGCCTTCAAAGGCTCAAACTTTGGCTTAGGCGGCAAGGACCCAGATTCATTTCTGGGTTCAGAAGTTGTCTCAATTTCCATGGAAGCATGCGCTTCAGTGTTCTGCATTTTGATACTTCAGCCTAAATAAATTAAGAAGAAGGTAGTGGTATTGTCCAATTAGTAACTTAAAAACAATCAAATGGGCAACATCTTGAATATCGAAATCATGATCAAAGCAACAAAAATAGCTCCAAATATAATAACTTTAATTCAATAACCAAAAGAAAAAGAAAAAGAAGAAGAAAATCAAATGAACTAAAAATCTAGAGATAATCATCATGACCATTATAAGCTCATGTACCCATATGATCCAAAATATCAACAGCAAGAAGAACAACAGTTAGAAGAAACGGATAGAAAAAAAAAATTCTTGAATCCCCGATAATTCGAAATCTAAGTCTATTTGATAAAAAAAAACCCTAATGCTCAAACCCTACTCAATTAAACCCAAAACTAATTTCAATTGATTTTGAGGAAAGAAGAACGCTTTCGCCCTACCCTTAATTTGAAGTCGCAGAACGAAGGAGAATAGATGGAGCTGAGCAGAGGAACTCACACTGAGAAGCTCGTGGCCCTAGTAAGAGAAGCTGTGGCTGTACCTTCTGATTGTCGAAGGACGGAGGCGGCAGCAGCAGCAAACCTTTGATTTATATGAAATATATTAGGTTGCAATAGAATTTTCTTATTTCCTCTTTATGCCCCTAACCTTTTCCATTGTCTTTATTTCTTTACGGCTATATCTAAACTTCCTAATTTCATCCACTAATGTGCTTATACTCTTTTTTTCTTTTTTTATTTTTTTTTTCCTTTTAGTACAATAGAAGTTAATTAGTTACATTGTAGAGGTTGGAACGGCTGACCTTTATAAAATTAAGGTTTTTTTAGGTAATTCATTTTATTTTTGGATTCCAACCTTTCTTAAAAAAAAAAAAAGAGAAGAAAATAAATATCATAAGTGTATATACCTTTTTATCATTTGTCAAAAAAAAAAAAAAACTCAAAAAAATATTGCAAATCTAAAATAATTCCATTTTATTTATTTGCAATTAGACTTGTAGAATTGAAATTACGCTAGACTAGACAAGTTCTCATTTTATTTTTGAACCAAAAGAATTGAATGAAAGTATTGAGATTGAAAACCCCTACTTCCTTCACAAGATGGACTTGTGCCTTACCACTAGAGGACTTCTAACATAATGAATCCCGTCAGTCCAAACCAACATCCCAAATACATATTCTCTAGGATGTACTTTACTCCTTGCCTTGAATGTCACTTTAAATTTCTTTTCCTCACCTATTCTCTTAAATGTCAGATGCATCGGTTTAACCGACACTGAGACTCCATGAGGCGACTTGATGTGTGAATGGTACGTTCCTGGAGGTCCAACATTCTTAACTCTTCGAGTAATAGTTATCGGTCTACTCAAATCTGGAACTGAAATTGAAGGGTAGTTGAAGTCTGTTAGTCTATATGACTTGGGACACACGTATGGCTTGTCTGTGAACCATTTAAGTAAACTTTGGTTGTATCCCTGGGCACAGAGGTAGTTCAAGTAATCATTAATTGTTAAGTCATAAACGAGGCCAGGATGCATTGCTTGGTTTGGTCTGACATGCCCTGCCCCATATGCAAATGGAGTTGCCTCCTCGTTGGAGGCATCTAGCAAAGCCTCTTCATTGTTGTCCCGTACTCTTGCTGAAACATGATGAGAAAAAATCAGGAAGGTTTTTGGAAGGATGCTTCATGTATGCGAGTGATGAAGAGGAAAGTAAGTTTGTTACCAGTTGTCATGATTGCAGATTTAATAGCTGCAGGACTCCAGTGAGGGTAAAGTGTCTTGAGAAGGCCGACAATACCAGAAATGTGAGGGCAAGACATGGAAGTGCCAGAGTCTGAGTTGAATGGAATCCGACGCTTGTCATCCAATGATTCAGTTGGTGAATCTGCTCCACTGAAAGCAGCAATGATGTTCACCCCAGGTGCAGTTATATCAGGCTGAAACGACAGGAAAAAATTTCATGACTCTGAATCAAACACCATTAAGCAGGAAATTAATGCCAGAGTTCATTGATTGAATTATAATTCAGACCTTGAGAATTTCTGGCGATATAGAATTAGGTCCCCTAGATGAGAATGCAGCCATAAATGGAGCCGGTTTTGTACCCAATTCAGTCTTTACAGGAGTAATGTATGCTTTAGGTTCCCTGAGAAATGTTCATAAATGCAATGAATGAATTGCTAAGTTAAATCAAATCAATGAGTACAGAAGATTGTTACCTTGTAGAGTTGATGTAGGCATAGACAGTTTGACCATCGGTGAAATTGACGTGAACAGCGGGTAGCAAGTGAGCATCTGCTATAACCTCATTCCCATTTATCTCATCATTCGCTAGAATCATGCCAACAGCTCCAGCTCGGAGAGCCTCTACCCCTTTCTCTGTTCTCGGATTATCCCCTCGAAGACACACCACAATCTTCCCCTTAGCCTTTTTAGGATCAAGTGTATCCGGCTTACACAGCTGACTGCACACGTTTTCAAAATAAATAGTGTTAATTGAGTGTAGTGTTTAGATGATGTATGGTACCAAAAAAGGGGGCAGTGGAGTGAGAAAACATACGCCTCCTCTTCAGGAACATTGGCTGATCTAGCGCTTGCACTAGTGATGAGAACATAGAATTTCCCAGATGGTAAAGATGATTCAGAAAGACTCATTCCCTGGAAATGGAAGAGGTAAAATAGACAAATTAAGAGGCTAGTACAGCAATGAGGAGATAATAAAGATTTGATGGATGGATACTAGAGAGTATGTGTACTTACCTTGATTTGCTTCTTGTTCCCTAGTTCGACAAAACTTGTGAACTCTCTGTCGATTGTGCTAGCTCCAACTGTAAATAGCCAGGGTGCTACATTACTTACAGATCCAAGAGTTGGACCGCTATTTCCAGCAGAAGCAACCACAGTGATGCCGTTCTTGACAGCATGGAAAGACCCGATTGCAGTTGCATCATTAAAAAATTGAACTGGATCACCACCTAATGACACTGAGAGCACGTCAACACCATCACTAATAGCAGCATCAAAGGCAGCAAGAATGTCTGCATCCATGCACTCGCCGCCATTGATTGGGGGCCAGCATACTTTATAAGCTGCAACACGGGCTGCAGGCGATCCCCCACTTGCTGTCCCATTACCAAAGCCCAAAACACTAGCTCCCCGAACAAAGTTGCCACCAGCAGTAGACAGGGTGTGTGATCCATGACCATCATGGTCCCGCACATTATAAAAAGAGGAGTTCAGACCACCAGCATATGCAGCATAACCTTTGTTAAAGTATCTTGCTCCGATCAACTTCCTGCATGTAACAGAACAACTTGCTTTTAACTAGCGGAGAAAGCTGCTGTGAATTAATCTTATGAGATAAAAAAATGAAGATTAGATGGCAAAATAGAATTTATTCTTCCAATTATCAATGACAAAATATAAAGTCAAAAAGAACATTACTTATTCCCTTTTTAACTTTAGACTTTCACTTTATAATATCCAATGCCTCTTTTAGTTTAATAATATTAGTTCATTTTATTTGTAATTGAAAAGTGAAATTTTGACATTCACTTTGTCCCTACCAAAAACACATGATTGAAGTACTTTATCTATTTTGTCTGCTAAATTGAATGAACAGAATCATTTGCCCTACGAAAAAAAGGAGACGCAAAATATCATATGAAACCAATGGTTTTTCGAAACCAAGCAATCTAGCCATGTGCATTAGTATTAGTGATGGAGCTTGTCTATGCATTAGATGAAAACATGCTATTTTTTAGTAGTTTTGAAGGCACAAGAGTTTCAAATTATCTGGGTTCTAGGGACTCCTAAATTTAAAAGCTAAAAAATTTTTCCCAGATCAAGAAAAGTGCAGCACCCTAAAGAAAGTTACTTTAGCAACAATTTCAACATATTCATTATAAAAATAAAGGTCAGTGAGTAGAAAAAGAGTGGACCTGTTACAATGGAATTTTGCTTGATTTCCAGTCTGACAGGTTCCGCGCCACCTTGATGGGACCGGACCGTACCCTTTACCGGAAAAGCTCTTTGATTCCGGCCAAACGCCTGAATTGAAGTTCTCTCAGGTTATAACAAAGTTGAGATTGACAGACAGAAATTGGAGCACTACATCTCATATACTATGTTGAAAGCAGCATTGGATAGTCAAAAGCTACTTGCCATTGACCCTACCATTGTCCCATTCATATATGCTGAAATCATGATGGCATATCACTACTATATCTAAAAGCAGCTCTTCTCAAAAGCTGCTTTTTCACCGATCTGCATTACTCCGGATGAGTACAATTAACATGAACTATAGTATTTTTTTATGATAATCATTGAGGGTATTTTAAATCCCAATATTAATATCAAAAATTTTTAATTGAGCTGAAGTCAAAACAATAATGCATGAGATAATCATGGTCAACTCCAAGGTGTCTCGTTTGGTGAAATGAATTGTGCTAAAATGTGAAGATTATTATGCCTCAAAACAAAGCTTATAAAATGAGGGCTTAAGATTGCCAAATTACCTGTATCAAGGTTGCCAATTATGGTGTCTTGGCCAAACCTTGCTTTCCTCCAAAGCGACTCAAAAGGGATAATCCCATCTCTCTTTAATCTCATAAATTCCCATGAACGAGTTGTGTGCAATTTCCTAGGCCTGTTTGGGATAACAGAAATGACATCCGGATGCTCTACATTGAGTCAAAAGAACAGAATCAAAGACAAGAAAAACAGAGGAAAACAGAGTAATGTATGTGGGAAATACAAAAACTTCATACTTGCTATTTCTGCTGCTTCTTCCTCTTCGAGGACTGCAGCAAAACCATTGATGGAATGAGTATACGAGTAAAAAATCTTGTCCTTGGCAATCTCATCACTGCAAAATAATGAAAGAAACAAATGCATTAAACCGCAAACTCATATGAACAGTTCTACTCCAGGAGAAGATAAAAGAATTAAATACCTTCCAACGAAAGAACTCAGAAGCTGGTAATGGGAATTTCTGACTTCATCGAGTTGAACTGAATTTGGTTGAATCCCATGTTGGTGTTCTCCCAAGTACACTACATAAGACTGAAAAAATGGAAACTCGAATCAAAAACTTTAGCAACAGAGAATTTAGAGAAACCCCAAGATACCAGATTGAATTTAGGACTCAACAAACAAAACCGAGAATGATTTTGAAAGATCAAAAAGGGGAAAACAGAGAAGTAATAATTGCGTGTGCTTGCCTTTTGGATGGCAAAAGTGGGAGTGAGAAACAGAGAGAAAAGAAATAGGGGAAAAATAATTGAAATCTCCATTGCTGTTGGAGGCTTAGTTTTTGGGGGCGAAGAAGAGCGGAATTAATACTACTAGTAGAGACTAGTGGGAGTAGTAGTGAGTAGTAGTAGAGTCAGAAAGAGGACTCTGCTTTCCCCTGTTTCTAAAACCCTGCTTTTGGAAGCAAGATTTTCGGCTACTTTTGATAACGGATACCCATGGAGATCCCTAAAAACATCCATTTTGTTCACATTCTATTAACTAAATATAGGCAAATTTAGAAATAATTTAGGAATATTTATCTTGGAAAATAATTTTTTTTAATGATAAAATCATTAGTGACTCCAATTGGATATTTCTTTGATTTTTTTTTTTTATGAATCACTTGATATTTAAAAATTTATTGGGTTATTTAACTAAATTCAGATTTGAGCCGAGTAAAACCAAATAAACAACAAAACCCTCCCATATAAATTTTAACAGAACTACACTTTTAGAGTTTAAAATCAAAATCTTAAGCTGAAAGAATCCTGTCAATTGATCCACCGCTCGTAGGTATTTCTTTGACCTATTAGATGTATACATATAGCACTTTTTATTGTGTTGTTGCGATTATTATGGTTGTTTAACCTCAGTCAACGGCTTTTAGTCTAGCAAATCGCACACTATCCGTATTCATTTATCCTTGAATTAATATTTAGAAAAATATTGTTTAAAGTTGCATGTAAATCTTTTTTTAGAAAAAAAAACAAACTAACTTTTAAACGGAGGGAGCAATGTTTTTTTTTGTTGGAGAGAAAGAATGAGTTTGGTTTTGAATCATTGAATTCAATTTTTGTTAGTACTAGTTGATTTTGATTCATGGAAGAGCTCTTTAGGATGAATGCAAGTAATGTTCATTGTATTTGTTTAGGAATGAAATTTATCAAAATTCATTGAATTCATGCGTCTGGGTAAAGTTCCCATTTTCCATTTATCTTAAATTATTCGGAAGAATAGATTAAATTTAGGAATTAATGTTTATTCACCTTAACTACTAAAGAATATAAAGAAAATTATTTTAAAGTTAAGTAGTTTTAATAAAATATTATAAAAAATAATAAAAAATATTTTAATTCATATTTTAGATATAAAATATTTTAATTTTTTTCAATAAAAATTTATTAAAACGATATAATTTTAAAATAATTTTTTTAACTCTTAAGAGATAAGACAGAAAGATACCATTCTCTTAAACTTAGTACTCAAAATATTTTTCAATATAAAAGAAATCTCCCAATAGATTCAACGCAACAATGAAAAATAGAATAGACTAATTTTTATTTTGGTTAAAACTCTATTTTGATCTTTTACTTTGACAAAAAATACTTTTATTTTAATTATTTTTTAATTTTTAAAATTTATTATGTGATCTATTTTTAATTCTTAAAATTTATTATATAACCCCTTTTTTCAGTTCGTAAAAATTTATTAACTGGGCAGCGTAATGTTTGGAATCTCCGTGGACTGGTACATGGGTTTACTTGGTTGGGCAGGGTCCAACTCAAAAAAAACACAAAATAGTGAGAACTGCAGAACCAAAAAGATCCCAATAATATTCCCCTTCATTATTCTCGCTGGTCCTAACGTTTCCTTGTTGCCTCCTTTCTTCTCCACAGTTCTTCTCTCATTCTTCAGCTTCTGCCTTCTGTGTTTTCCTGTTAAAGGTCAGTTCTTTTCCATTTCTCACATACAAAGATATGTTCTTATTCATATGCATTTTGTGAGGATTATACTGAGATTCAGGTTGTTCAAGTGCTTAGATCTGTAGTAAAATTCAGGCTGTTCTGGATTCTGTTACTGTAATTTCCCAAAGGTTTGTTATTTAGGTGCTGTGAGTTGAGTCCAAAGTTGTGTGCTTTGTGTATCAAAGGCCATCCCTTGTTCATGGGAGGATTCTCAAATGCTTTGTACTTCTTAGCCTCATTGCATTCAGTTCAGTTAGTTTTTTGAGTTTAAATAAATGTTGATAAAAGTAAACACTGATTGATCTTAACCATCCAATATCAGAGAGTACCTAAACTGTTTGTTGAATTTTGCCTTTTGATATTGAAATTGAGTAGTCTTCATTACCTCTAATTATTTTCCACATAAGCCCTTCTTTGCATCTTCATTTTAATGCAGTATTACGTGCAATCTTGCTCCATTATTTGTTGCTTTTCAACCCTTTACTTTATATAATGACTGCAAATAATGTTCATTGGCATGTTTTGTCTGCTTGAATTTTCTTGGCCAAAAAATTAGTTGGAATTAATCAACTAGGCCTAATTAGAAGAGTAAAATTGGTGGATTAATCCTTGCTATTTACAATAATCAAAAAAGCTGCATGGAAACAGTCTCTAAGAAAATTCATGTGCTTTGTTTCTTTAGCGTAACAGCATATGGAGGAAAACTTATTTCCTCCCATACATACACAGATTACTGGTATTTCATCCAAATCATATGAATTGTTTTAACAATGATAGAATGTTCATGTCAAGGAAACAGATGCACTTGTACATGAAGGCATGAATAAATTCCACATCTGAACAAAAAAATAATCGTATAGCAATCCTGCACACTAAACTTTTTTCTTGTAATCTGTTAAATGGATGAATAACCAATGACTTAAACATGCTTCCCCTGCTTTCTTTGTAGATAGAATCTTAGAATCCTTTCCAGGCATTGAGAATTTCATGGAAGATTTCAGCTACGAGCTCCATATCTGCAGAATGCAGGAAAGCATTGAACTCATCCCGGATATCATATATTTTGCCAAACTTCACAAGATAACGCATGCAACTGGACTTCAGTTTTGGCAATTGATAGAGAGAGGCATTCTGCAGCCTCTCGAGGACATTTCTTACATCAATATCATCTAGAAGACTCTCATGGCATGCTTCTTTCAGGTCAGAGATGTCATACTTATCAGCTGCACCTAGAAGAGCCAATCGGTGTGTGAGAAATTCTTCATGTTGAATGTTCCCATAAATGTAACTGAGAAAAGCCTGAACAGCTTCTATTGACATATCAGAGATATTAATTGTAGAGAGTTCTTTCTCTTTCAGGTCATGCGAGAACATGCTGCGGAAAACAGGTGATCTTGCTGCAAGAATAGCACGATGAGCTCCAATGCTTCCATCAGAGGCATTGATAGTGATGTCTGTGTGAATGCCTTCTGTCAACATTCGACCAAGATATTCAAGTGCTGTCGCATTTGATTGACTCTCTGTGGATCCTTCAGGCCAGATGGAACTAGGTTCCCCACCCTGTATAACAAAGGACAATTATAGCTGTTAAGTTAGGTATGATATTAAATATTAACAGCATTATTCCGGTTGTTCAGTACATTTCATTCTCTACTGACTTTTGTTTCCATAAATCTGAATTATAGCAATGGAAAGAAAAAGTTTCATAATCAGTATAAACCAGAAAGGTAGGAGGAAAAAAAACTCATTATCATATCATACGTCTGGTGATGCAATCTTCAAATCAAGGAATTCGACATCAATGATTAATTTCCCTGTTAAAGGAACCTCAACTGCCCAAACGAAATGGTCGTTGTTCTTCAGTTGCTTGTCTCTTATTTCTGCATGAGGGTCATAAGAAGAAAATGATCAGAAGCAGACATAGACATCAGGGGGATTCAATTAATCCCCTGATATCTTCGGGGGATGATGTTTAGCATTTGACATGGATAACAAAATTGTAAAAACCTACATGATCAAGCCAAGAGGACTAACCCGGATGAATGAAAGCTTTACGATCCCCAGCCGAACAGACCGCCCGGATTATGAAAGATGCAATCGGAGGATTCTCTCTGGTTAAATTAGATATCTCTGGGTATAACTTGACAAGGAAAACCTTGTTCTTCTCCACAACCAAATGCCTTGAATCCAAAAACAAAACCCAAACTCAAGTTTAAGAAATCTCCTATGCTCTCAAAATCAGTAAACCCGTAAAGACACACATTCTCAGTTGCCAATACAAACACATTCAACAACTCAGTAGCCAAACTGAATAAAGATGATGTTTTTGAGACTTACCAGTACCATTTCCCTATCTTAAAGGGATCTGATTTCCGGTAGGTGAAAGAAGCAAGATTGTCTATCCTCCATTGGGCAAGGCGGGCGGTGGTTTCAACCCTGTAAGCAGACTCAGTCATCCTAGACAAGGCAAGAGCGGCAGTGATCTCATGGATGCAATCAAAGATCCCTTCGAAGAAAAACTCCACTGACTTTCCCAGGTTTACAGATGATGATGCAATATCTTCCCCTCAACATCAATGAGACCAAAGCAGAACACAACCGAGTTCCAGATGTTGTGTCTTTATTCCTGAACTTGCTTTTCTGGGGATTTAAGTTGAGAATGTCTAGATTTGGTGAAATGTTAGTTGGAATGGAATAGCACTGAAAAATTCAAGTGGGTATGTAAGTGGAGGATTTTTATTGGAGGATTGATTTTTGGTCTGTTCCTCTCTAATTAAGGGCTTCTTTGGCTTTAGACTGTAGGAGAAGTATTTATTTCCATCTGGGTGTCTTTCATCTTCTTCCTCTTTTCCTCCTCCTTTTGTGCTTAATTGTTTGAATAAATTTTCATACTTTGAAGCAAAGTATGAATTTATGCTTTGTCTTTAACGCACCCAAAAAAAAATGCATCCAATCCCTACCCAAGCTCTCATACCTTTTGGTGCGGTGTCTGCAACACACAAGATGACATGGAAATTCTGATTTTTTTTTTCTTTCCCTACAAAAAAAAAAATGTTGTATTTTGCTCTTTAAACAGAGAGAAACTGAATATTGATACAATTTTATATTCTTATATTATTATAAATGAGTTTTCCTACATAAATTTTCATGTGAGAGAAATTAAAGATAACGAAAAAAGTTTGATGATAAAAAAACATGAGTCTGATTAAAGGATAAGGTTATATGTACTGTCCCATCTCATGTAGATTCTATGCAAATACTCCAATATAAGGAACACAAAGAGAGGAAGGTAAAGACATGTAAACTATTTTGTATAAATGTACGTAGCTAACCAAAATCAAATCTACAATAGACATTTTAAAGAAAAAAAAAAAGAAGGAAGAAACAGAAGGGATACAAAGTGGGGTAGGAGAGGGAAGAAGAGGAAGCAAGATGTGTTGATTTGGGGAAGATTGGAATCCGAATGGATTCTTTGGCTTTCTCCATCGCTATTATTACATTCCAACTAAAATATTAAATTGCCTTTTTGATTGGATGGAGAAGAAAGAAAGAAGAAAGTGGTGGAAACCTTTAGGAATTCCAATAATACAAGAAATCTACAATAATCTACATACAATGGACATGTGAAATGATCATTGCCACACAACATGCATAGCCATAATGTCTTTTCATTTCTAGGCCTAGTGGGTTGCATGTTGATTAAATAATAAAGAATGGACTTTAAAGAAAGAAAATACAGATTCATTGGGTTGGTTGGTCCGCTGATCAGAAGTGGGTGCCCCAAGGCCCAAAGCCTTAGCCTGCTATAAAAGATTTGAAACTACAGTAATATCAGCATTCCAGCACTAACCAACCAAATCCTTTGTAATATATAGCTGGCCCGTTGAAAACGAATGGCCTTTATATGGACTTTTCTTTCCGGGAGGTTGGCTACAGTTTTCTTGACAGCGTATGTCCGACAAATAAGAATAGAAAATTTTATTTTGATATCATAATATCAGAAAAGGAAGACATTTAATATTAAAATTATTAAAAATATTGAATCATAATCATAATTGAAGGCGCCGCCAGCTTGACAGAGTATGTTCGACAAATAACAAATCATTTAAATTATGATTGTGATGTAACTCCGCTAAAGCGGCCTCATGATTACATGTCTTTTTGAGATTCGATGGCCTATTCATCTGATCTCATATCAAATCTTTAGTTATTAATTTTAATAATTTTAATTTATTAATTATTGTCTTTATAAAAAAAATTATGATTGTGATGGGACATTTTAAAGCTGATTGTAGTTTTTTTTGACAAAGTATGTCTGATAAATAACAATAAAAAATTTTATTTTGATATCATAATATCAGAAAATGAAGGCATTTAATATTAAAATTATTAAAAATATTTGATCATAATTATAATTTAAGTGAGTCACTAGTTTGATAAAGTATATTGGACAAATGACAACTCATTTAAATTATGATTGTGATGAGACATTTTAATAATATGGCTCATCACAATCATAATTTAAAGTTGAATGAGTTGTAATTTTGTCGGCCTGACTCTGTCAAGAAAACTGCAGCCAACCTCTTGGAAAGAAAAGTCCATATAAAGGACATTATCATTTAAGTGAGACTTGACTTAAATGGTATTTCATTAAATAATAGTTATGATTGTGCATTTAAATATTTTTAATGTGAAGACATTTTAATTTTTTATATGCTCTCATGTTATTATAATTAATATTAATTTATGTAAATTTATATTTTAAATATTTAATTTTAAATAAAATACTTAATAGAATACATATCCTCTAATGTATATTTTTAAATATAATTTTTTTAAAAGTCATTTTAATATTATTTTATTTAATTTACTTTAAACTAAAAACTTTGAAGTAAAAAATTAAAAAAAAAATATTAGCGGTTGTATCATTTGATTCAACGCCAATGAATTTGAAATTGCATGTCAAGCGATGCAGTAAAGTTCAGTTTCTATTTTCTTTTAGGGAAAATAATTATTTAAAAAAAAAAAAAAAACAACAACAACAACAATATTATACATGCCTAAGGTTGGTACTTGGGTTGCTACTGAGAGCAGGAAGCGGAAGTGCCCTCTGGATTTGATTCAAGCTTCTCCATGAGGCTTGGTTGGTATCTTCTCCGCTGGATTTAACTGGCCCAGCTGGATTGCTGGGAGTCTTTCTGGATGTCTGTATAGTGTTTGTTTCTTGTTTACAATATTGTTCGAACTGAACTTTTGTATTCTGATTGCTTAAGTTATCATAAGCAGGGACAATTGTCTTATGAAGACTCACTTTTGCTACGGCACCGGTGGGTTTCCTTAACCAAGCCACTGCCTATGAGTCGCAGGTTCATTCTTCAACAGGCACACGGTCAGAGCCCTCTGGCTCCTCCCACTGCTTGTGAGCTTACGGTTTCATGTTCTATTTCACTCCCCGACGGGGCTTCTTTTCACCCTTCCTTCACAGTACTATTTCGCTATCGCTAGCTCACCCAGGAGTATTTAGCCTTGCAAGGTGGTCCTTGCTGATTCACACAAGATTCCACGTGCTCCATGTTACTCGGGTTAGAGTGTAAGCTAGTGATGGATGGTTGACATGTCTAATCTAATCAACTTCGAATGTATGAAAGGACAGAGCTAGACTTTTGGGTAAAGGGGTAAAATTTTAAAATTTTTGAGTTTTTTTTTTTTTTTTTGGTGAAAATTTTTTTTGAGTTTACATCAATATAACTTATATCAAATTTTAATCATCAATTATATAGTTTATTAGTAAAAGTAAATATATTTTTAATCATAAATCTAAAGTTTGATTCATAATTTTTACGTAAAAAAATTATACTAATTTTTATATTAATCATTAATTTTATGTTTATATATACTATTTATAATGTACATGCAAAGCCTTAATTAATTAAATATATTTAATTCTTTTGAATAACATATATATGATCCAATATCCTTAAACAAATAATATAAAATAATAAAAAAAATGTTAATAAGTTGGAGCCAAAAAACAATTATAAAAAAAATTTCAAAACTATATTATTTAAATAAACTCTAATTAAAATAAATAGACTAAATTAGCATATTTTTAGGGTAAGAATGAAGACTATATTAATATTTTTTCATGATATATTTCATTAGAACATCCTAATTTTGTAGAACATCCTAATTTTGAAGTTTTTTTCACTTTTTTGATATGGTTACAGATGTTAATAAATTTTAAATTAGAATATCAAATCTAATTGTTAAATTGATATAATATAAATTGTCCAAAGAATTATAATTAATTTAAAATCCCTTTTTATATCCAAATAAAATTATTTGTCTTAAAAATTGATTTCAAAAAAAGAAACGATCCTTTACCTAACTCCCAAATATTTTCTTTAAATTCAAAATGGTCCTTGTAATTCAAACATAAAAAACAAATTTTGTACTAATTAAAAATTGATGTACTATATTAAACATTTTCCAAAAGCTTAGGGCGGTGGCTGCCCGCCCTTGTCCTGTTGTAGCCCGCCCCTGAATGGGTGTTATGTTGCATTCCTAGCCATATGAAATTTCAAATCAGTATTGTGTGTGTGACTTTTATTCCAATACCAACAAACAGGTGATAATCCATGAAACAAGCTGCATGTTGCATGATGGAAAGTTCCTCCCGTTCCACTTTACAAGCCTAAAATCTCATTGGACAAATACATTGTACTACGTCACCCTGAAATACACGGTAAACAAAATGGAAAGTGGAATTTAATTAGACAATGAAATCTTTAGAAACATGCCAAATCCATCAGCATCTTTCTTCAGGAAGATGCTGGTTTCTCATTTAAGTGCTTCCTGGAAATGTTAGTTTAGTTTCAAATGACCCAACACAGTAATTTGTAACTTATTTTTTTGATTTTATAATTTATAACTTATTAGAATTAAAGAAAAGGCTTATTGGGGTATTAGGCCCAAATTAAAGGACAGATTACTTAAGAGACTTATTAGGACTACAATTTCGAAGTGCGTGTTAGCTAGTATAATTTGATTTCTTAATTTAATACCACATAACTAACTTTCTTTATTATTTCCTGGAAGACCAATGACTTTGACTATGAAACTTCGACTTCCATCTACTTTGTTTTCGTCGGTTTCCAAATATCTTGACGGGGACATACAACATATCATGTGCATGCAAAAAGACAGGTGGGGTTACTTAAGAATTTTCTTGAAAAGTATTTCACTATAATTTTCCCAGTTTCTTATACTAATTATAAAGAAATACGAAGCCTGGACACGAGGGTGGAAATGGGGAACCCATGTCAATTACTTTCTCTTAATGTTGGTCTTAATATTCCAAGTCAACACAGCAAAGTGTGTTAAGAAAAAAAAGGTAATTATAACTTTTTTATTATATCAAATGATGGATATATTACACAATTAAAAGATAACCTTTTCATTTTCAAACCGCTTCTCACTCATTTTAAAATTCAAACTTGAGTAGGAAGGGGCTAATTAATTAATTTGGCCTTATTATGTTTTAATTAATTCTTCATATTTTGTGCAAAAGTACATG